GACTCTGGGAGGACAAACAATTCAAGCCACAGCAGGCGGTTTTTCTGGGAGGGTGGGGGGCGGCCAGTGCTGAGTCCACCGTGTCCATGTGTCAAAGCTCTGGGAGGCGGTCGCCAGGCGCCCCAGGCCTCTACACGAAGGAGCTTGCAGGTCGCGGCCTTCGGCTGCTCGCGCTGCCGCCCTGAGCCGAACACGTTTCGGCGCCCCCCGGCCAGCCCCCAACGCCGCTGAGGCCTGTTCCAGCCGCGCTGTCCAACCCACCCTCTGTCTTAGCTTTGGGTCACAAAGAGCACACTGAGGGCCTTCCCTTGGGCTGCCTTCCTCACCAGGGCTAATATTCACTGAACACCACGTGCCCGGAACATCCCGAGCATTTCAAACTTGACACCATTGCATCCTCACAGCGATGTGCGAAGTGATGTCTGTTAGTCCTTCATCCTCACCTGAGGATGTGCTTGTTGATTTTAGAGAACGGAGAAGGGAGGGGGAGAGAGACTCACGTGGCTGCTTCTCGTACGTACCCCGACGGGGGATCGAACCTGCAACCCAGGCCTGTGCCCTGACCAGGAGTCAAACCGGCGACCCTGTGGTTTACGGCGACGACGCTCCAAGCAACTGAGCCACACTGGCCGGGGCCTGAGTGCTCGGCGTCCACGTCCCCAGCCCACAGGTGAGGAAGTGAAGCCCGGAGAGGCCGGCCGCTGGCTCGCAGCAGCGGCAGCCTGAGCTCCTGCCCCCACGGGCACCGGGCGCCCGGCAGGCCCAGCGCGTCCCGGCCGCGGAGGCCTGGGCTGGCTCGGTGGCAGGGGCTGCCGGGCCGGGGGCGCTGACGCCCTGTGGGCGCAAGGCCCCGCACACAGGTGCATCTCAGCAGCCGCTTCCGAAGGGGCGGCTCGTCCCGGTGTGGGCACTGGGGCTCCTGTGCCGGGAGAGGGCAGCGGGGGACAGTCTCCACATGCGTGACAAGGGCGACTTGGGGAGAGGGGCTGCAGGGGCAGGACAGCGGGAGGCGCGGGAGGCGGAGGCGCGGCCTGGCGTCCTGACGGTGGGCGCGGCGGCCGCACACCAGGGGCCTCGGGGCCGCGGAGGAGGCTGAGCGGTGGCGGCGGGGCTGCCTCGGGAGTCAGGGACTCACAGGCCAGCGCGTCACAGGAGCAGGTGGGGCAGCCCAGGCTCGGCGGGGGGTTTCCGGTGTGTGGCAAGCAGAGCTGAGTCCGTTTTGGCCCTTGGGTTTGGCGAAGACTTAGAGGCTGGTGACAGGTAACATGGGTGGGGGTGTCCACGGGAGCCCGGGTGGAGGTGGCGGGTCTCCGGGTGTTGTCTCCGCAGCCCAGGCCGCGCTGGGGCGTCGGCGGCCGCGCCCGGCGTGAGTGCCTGTGGTCCGCACAGAGGACCTGACACGTGACCTTGCAGTGTCCTCCAGCCCCGAGGAGCAGCGTGTCGCCAGAGTGGCGGGGCCCCAGTGGGCACTCAGGGCAGCGAGGGGAGCAAAGCCGCGGCTCCCACGGTGTGGCCGGGGTCTCCGGACGGTCACTGCCCTGCTCGGGCTTCTGCGTGGGCCGCCTGAGCCGGCACCAGCCCTGGGGCCCCTCAAGCTGGCGGCAGGCGGGGGCGCACGCACCACGCGGGGCGGTGGCTGGCAGTCGGCACAGCTGCGGCTGCCCTGGGACCCTCCTCTGACCGCTGGACTCAGGGCCTGACCCACTCGGGACGCTGCATGGCCTTTGGGAGGGTGCCAGGCGCCCTCCAGGGGTTGCCGGGAGAGGGCCCTGCGGCAGGCGGAGGGCCGGGGCGCGGGGGCAGGCTGCAGAAGGGGGGGGGCGCGCGCAGCGAGGACTTAGGTTTGCTCTTTATCTGGGTGCCCAGGTAACAGCCTGCCAAGACCTCCCTGGCTTAGTGTCCCACTTACTGCGAGCCGCGTCTCAACATCTCACGCAGCCCCTTCTGCAGGGAAGATACTCTAACTTCAGGAGAAATGCATGTCATTTGCCAAAAAACAAAAATCTCAAAAACAAACAAACAAAATCCCCTACCACAGCACCCTTTAAAATTTGTATCCTTTTCCCCCTCACTGTCGGTTTGAGGGTGGAGGGCTCGGGGCTGAGACCCGCCGTCGGGCAGCGGCTGCCTCTGCAGGCACTAGCCCAGCGGCGATTCCTCAGGTGCTTCTGGCGGCATCGGTCTGACCCGGTGGCAGCCTTGGCCTTCCGGGTCCCCTCTGGAGCTCCATCAGCAGGTGCTTTGCAGCCTGGGGCTGTCGCCAGGGGCTTGGCCTTGGCTGCCTCGCTCACAGGCTGTGGAACCTGCCACCGAGAGCCAGCGCCCGCGCGGGGTGAGGCGCAGGGAGCGACGCCTCCCCAGCCCAGCCGTGCTGGCCTCTTACAAAGCCCACGCAGGTTTCATTCACTGGTAGAAGTGGGTGTCCAGCCCCCCGCCCCGCCCGGCCCCTCCCCAGGGCCTGGGTGGCTGTCCCCTGAGAGACCCGTCCACCTCGCTCTGTCCTGACTTTCAAAGCTCACAGGGAACGCACGTCGCCCGCGTGGCCAGCTTTCGCAGTGGCCTCTGAAAAGGGCACAGAGCCTGGTAACAAAACTGAAAATAAAACCAATAACAAAAATCCCACCTTTCACTTATCAGACTGGCAAGAAAAGAGAAAGCAAAAAAAAAAAAAAAAAAAAAAGCACACACTTGTGAGCACCTTGCAGAGCAGGAGACACAAAAGGGCACCGTTTCCGTCCCCAGTGGGGTTGGGGTGGAGGGAGCCCGGACCGCGCCTGCCATCTCCCCGCTGCCCGGGAGGCCTTCAGCCCAGTGGCCGGCCCACAGCCTGCAGGGCTGACACCAACACACAGGCCCGCCCACCTGGCCCGGCGGAGGCTCAGGCAGCTGCTTGCCCGCTGGCCAGATGCCTTTGTCCCCAGGTGCTTCTCACCCTCTCGGGCACAGGACTCGTGTGGGGCTGACCTTGTTATGTTGCTTAAGACTATCTTTCCAGTTTGATTATTCTGGAGGTTAAAAAAAGAATTATCTTAGGTATTTGTGATTTTTTAAAAAATCCTTACCCAAGGGTTTTTAAAAAAGATATTTATCTATTTACTTATTTTTAGAGAGGGGTAAGGGAGGGAGAAAGAGAGGGAGAGAAACATCCATCAGTTGCCTCTCGTAGGCTCCCCGACCAGGAACTGCACCAGCGACCCCTCGCCTGGCAGAGCGACGCCCCGCCCCCCGCCCCCCGCGGACCCACCCAGCCAGGCCGCCCATGCCCTGCCCCAGCCGCGCCTCAGGCCGGTCCTGCGAACGCTCGGCTCCACCCTGCGGGTTTCTGGGTTCGATGTCGCGCCCTTCACTCGGCCCGGCCTGCAGCTGCAGCGGACCGGACGGGGCTGCTCTGCGGGCTCCTGAGGACCCGCCGCAGGGTCGCCTCCCGGGGGGTGGGGGCGCCGTGCCGTCCCACTGGCCTGGCCTTGCTGGCCCACGACCGGACTGGACGGTCGCCGCCGTCTCCGAGGGCCAGGTCTCTCGTCTCACCCCTGCGCTTTCTGGCTCTACAGCTTCAAAGTCCACTTTTTCAGCTTCAAGAGAAACTCTGTCCACCGATCAATCGATCAGAACCACACTGACTGGTCACTTCAGTTCGGGGGACACAGCTGCCCTGGCGGCGTTCCACACTGACAGCCGGGTCGAGCCTGTTTTTTCACACCTTACCCTTTCTGAAGCGCTTGGCGGTCCTTCCACCCCCGCACTCTGCCTGGGCGTCTGGAGCCCTGGTTGCCCCCTTGCAGCCAGGCCCCTGCACACCTGTGGCCCCGCTGTGACCCTCCCGTGCGGGCCGGGGTCAAGGATCGAGGGCCGGGCCCCGCCCCACCCCACCTTCTCCCAGAAGACAACAGAATCGGGGCGAACGAGACAGAGCGGCCCAGGGGCCTGGTGCCGGGGCAACGGAGGCCGGGAGGAGGGGCGGTGCTGCAGGAGCGGGCGGGGAGTGAGGGGTGCTGGGCGGTGTGCCAGGGGGGCGCGGAGAGGGTCGCTGCAGCGCGGACGCGCGGCCCTCGGTGGCTGCAGCCGCCGCAAGCACGTGGGGCAGAGGCGGCAGGTGCGGGGTTTGCCCCCTCAGACAGTGGCTCCCAGAGGAAGCAGGGGTCTGTGCCGGCCCTGAGGTCCAGCTCCAGGGTGCGGCGGGCAGTCCAGGCCCGGGCCAGGCGGGCGGCGAGGCAGAGTGTGCGCACCCACGAGGGATGGGGGGGCGTCAGGGTGCGGCGGAGAGGGGGTGGGAGCGGCTCTGGTCCCACCTCAGAACCGAGAACTTCGTGCCATCTTGCAGAATACCGCGCAGTAAACGCTGTTCACGTGATTACGTGCAGATGCCAGGAACTGTTCCGCGGTTTCAGGATCATTTTTACCTCTGTTCCTGGGGACCTGTCCCCATGTCTCACTGCACCGCAGAGGCGAACGCGCCTGTGTCTTACCCAGAGGTCTTCCTAAGCCACAAGGTCTTCACAATGACCTTAAACTGAGCAGAAACACCCCACAGCTGACTCAGTTACGCAGCTCCAGCACTTGAGATGCACGGAGAGCGGAAAGGCATTTGCAGATACCGTAATTAAAGAACTGAACTGCATCGAGCCCTGGCTGGTGTGGTTCAGCGGACTGAGTACTGGCCTACAAGCCAAAAGGTCGCTGGTTCGATCCCCAGCCTGGGTTGACGGCCAGGTCCCCAGCAGGGGGTGCACGAGAGGCACCCACACATGGATGTTTCTCCCCCTCTTTCTCTCTCCCTTCCCCTCTCCTTAAAGATAAATAAATAAAATCTTTAAAAAGAAATCTAAACTGCACGGATTCCCACCTTTCCCTCCAACCTAAATCTTCCCCAGGGTGAGCCACGGCCTGTGCTGACGCGTGTCTTTCTTACTTTCGTGTTGTGAAACACCGCCCGTGAGCGGCCGGCTGGGCTGGGCATCTCGCCTCCCCGCCGTACGAGGCCCGCGGACAGCCCTTCCCACCTTGTGGGCAGGGAACCTCGACACTGTCAGGTTCGGGCTGGAGGTCCCCGGTGCCTAAGGCCATCTCTGATGACGGGTCGGGGGCTGTGAGACCAGGAGGCCAGTGAGACGGAAGAGCTCTGGGGAACTGAGTGCAACAGAATTAAAGAAGTTAGAGGCGGGAAGAACACCTCCCGCGCTCCGTCCTCTGCTGTGACGGCGGGGGCAGCTGCAGCCGCCTTAGAACCACGAGGAGGGCCGCCTGCGCACTGGGTGTGGGGGTGCACGGGTGCCCGTTTTTGGTCCGTGTGCCACGTCGCCGCGCGCGCTGTGTGGGGGGAACGCTCTCAAGATGCCGTATTTTCTACAGGTGCCCCCGTGAGGCAGGGTAGGAAAAGCCTCGCGAGGCTGAGCCAAACTGCTGTCTCTCCCCGAGGGACACGGTGTCCGTCACCACGGGCCCCGCCTGAGCAGGCAGGTCACGGGGCGTCAGCTGGACGCTGTGCTGGAGACGCGCGGCCCCCGGGTCCGCACCGCAGCGTGGAGGGTGCGCTCCGCTCAGCCACTGAGTCCGCGGAAGGCGCAGCGGGGCCCACAGGTGGCGCCGCCGGAAAGCGGGAGCGTGAACCCGCCGTCAGCTTGGGTGCAGCCGCCACTGTCCACCCACGACGCCCGGCGGCAGGTCCGGACGCACGTCCCTACCCACCTGGAGCCGAGTCGTCCTGGGAGGTGAGACCGGAAGGGCTGGATCCCAGGTCAAGCAACTTCCAGGTGTCCTGGAGGGAGCCACTGGCAAGCGAGGACCCCTGGGTGTGGTGGCCGCTGTCCGGGTGGACCCTGTGAGCCTGCTGCGGCTTTGGGGACAGGTTTTCTTTCTGACAAGCTGACTTGCAAGTCGCTGTGGAGATTTTGTGTTGCTTCTAGAAAGGTTAGAAAGGACAGAATTATCCTTGAAAGCCACCCTCCCTCCAACCCAGAGGAAACAACAGGGCCCTCTGTCCCCCTCTGGGTAGGTGACAAGACAGCGAGCCCTCAAGGACCGGGAGAGACCCCGGGAGGCGGCCTGCACTCCGGCCGCTCAGGCCCCTCTCTGCACATGAGGCGGGGGGTGGCCGAGTTGGGACGGGGCCACGGTCTGGAGGGACCGCGTGCGCCCGGCTGGCCTGTGCGAACCCACCGGGCCACGGCGGGGCCCAAGGGCCGGCAGGGTCCTCGCACCCGGCCGCGCCCTGCGCTCGGACGGGACCGCGCCCTGGCCCCCACAGCCCCGCGCCGGGCAGCCGAGCCGGTGGCCACGCAGGCCCTGGCCTTCCCCTGCAACACCCAGTGCAGCGACCCCGACGCCGTGTGTGCCCCCGGTGGGGGCTGTGGGGCCTGCGTGCCCGTCCTGGCGCTGAAGCACCCGCCGCAGTGCCGGGCGGAGCGTCCTGCCTGCGGGCTGCGTGGGCCACGGGGGCCGTGGGGGCCGCGCGGGGCTGGCCTCTCCTGAGTGCTCCGCGTTGGCATCCCCAGAGCCCTGCGGCGGAGATTCACGCAAAGGAACACAGCGTCTGTGAGCCATCAGCACAGTGTGTCACTGAGCTGCCCCTCCAGACAGGAGACACTCCCAGGGTTGCTGGTATTAGGTACTTACTCTTCATGGTCACAAGCCCAGAGGGAGGGCCACGCTCGTGTCCACAGGCCAGGACAGAGCCCCCACCCGCCGTGCGGCACTGCACCTCGTCTGCAGCCCCGCCCCGCCCTCCAGCCGCCCGCTGAGCGCAAACTTGGGACTCGCAGTCCCTCGTCGCCCCGCTCGCCAATGTAAATGACCCGGAACGAGCTGGAAAGACATTTACACCCTGGGAGACAACGTCTACAAAACGTCCAACAGAGCGGGGCTGATGCCAAGACTCACTACCTGCCTAGAGCAGGACAGAGGCTCCGGGAGGCCCAGGGAATGACCGCCCAGCCTCGCCCAGCAGTGTGGCGGCCCCCAGCCCCAAGCTGGCGGCGGCGGACCCCCCTCCCTGACCACGCTGGGGGCGGCGGCGGGGGTGGGGTGCTCCGGGCCGCAGGGAGCCCACGCACACACCCTCACGCACGCACAGTCGGGCCGGCACCCGCCTGCGCAGTGCACGCACACGTGTGCACACGCAAGCGCGGGGAGCGGCGCGGGCCTGGGATGGGCTGCTCGGCTGAGCGCAGCTCGGAAGAGGGGACTGGCAGCCCCCGGATGTGGGCCCCGCGTCTCATGCTCGGACTCCGTTCGCGCGGGCGCGGGCCTCCCGCCTTGGATGACTTCCTGTCAGTATATGTCAGGGTGGCCCCTGTTCTCAGACACAAGGCAGCTCGATGTCTGTAACTCGCACTGGCCCCCGAATCAGCTGCCTGCCTGTCTGTCTGTCCCCTCTGTCTACAACGTGAGGAAGGCACGGGGGGCGGAGAAGAGGACAAGTGAACACAGTGGCAGGTTAGCGCCTGGCGAATCCAGGTGACAGGTGTAGGCGCTATTCTATTGTTGTTACGATTTGACTTGTTTTTAGAGAGAGGGGAAGGGAGGGAGAGAGGGAGCGAAACATCCATGCGAGAGAGGGGCATCGATCAGGTGCCTCTGACGCGCCCCCCGGCTCAGGGGAGCCCGCAACCCGGGCCGGGGCCGCGACCGGGGACCGCACGCGCCGGCGCCCGGCCACCGAGCCGCCCAGGCAGGGCTGTGCCAGTCTCATAACTTCATCTAAAAAGAAAACTATTAGAAAATTTAAAAATGAATTACAAAACAAACAGAAGCAAGAGTGCAGAGTTTTAGCACAGGATAAATATGCCAATCCCAAATCAGTGACAATCAGTAAGACAAACAACTGGAGAAATGGGTGACTATTCACCTAAACTCGGAAGAGAGAATAAACCATGAGCGTGCCCAGCAGAGTTCATTAGGTTTTTAAAGAGTTATCTGTGGACTAAAACATTGAAAAATTTCACGGCAAATGACAAGTTTGAGAAAGATGTTTAACAGAGAAGCAACAACTTCCTTAATCTATAAGGAATTACAAGCTAAGGAGCCCAAACACACTAGTAGGAAAATTCTCAACGGGCACATACAAATAACCCACAAAGGAGGAGCGAACACCCATGAACAGATTAAAAAGTTTAAGACCACTGAAGGTAAAGAAATTTTTAAAAGATGCCATTTTAAACCTATTCATTGGTAAAGATTAAAAAAAAAAAAATAGCCCAAAACGATGAAGCTATAGAACGTAGGTATGACACAATCTGTCATTTTAAAGAATGGCAGGAAGCAGAAGGAACGGTACTGGGCACCGTATTTCGGTGCTGAAAAGCAGGCTTTTGCGATCGTGTGTCGTAAACTGATGTTTCTGTAGTGAGAACGTTCACACTTTAGAAATCCGAAACAGTTGTTGAAAATGCATTTCTGAGAGGACGGTTACCTGAGCTGGGAGGGGCGGCTGCAGCTGCTTCAAAGCCGGGCCCCGCTGGGGGTGCGTCTCGGGCGCCACCCCGGGGTCCTGGGCCTCAGCGCCCGCGCGGGGCTGGTGCGGTGGCCCTGGAAAGAGGACGAGGGAAGGGTTGGTCCGCGTGCACCCCACTCCTGGGCCCCTCTCGAGCTGAGGACGGCCACCGTCCCTCTTCAGAGCCCGAGCCCCTTCCCTTTCAGGGCGCACTGGGCAGCGCGCAATTGCGAGCCGTGTGTGCGCAACACACAGGCCCCTTCGCCGTCGCAGGCCCCTCGCATGGCCCCTCGCAGGGGCAGGAAGGGGCTCATTCGCGAGCCTGAGAGCGCACCCTCCCTGCAGCGGAGGACAGAGGGGAGCAAGGCTGCAGGCAGCTCCGCACGGCTGCCCGTCTGGGCTGCAGACCCGAAGACTGGGACCCGGGCCGGAGGCACGCGGCAGCGCAGGAGCCTGAGCCTGGTTGGCAGGGCCGGAGCCCGGAGCCCGGAGCCGGGCGGGCGGGTGGGGCCTGGCCTTGGCTGGACAGTCTCCTGTTGTTAATGTGCCAAATGACAAGATGCTCAGTCACGGTTGGTTGTCCTCAATGACTGTAGACACACAACTCATGAACCAGATAAATCATCTTTGCAAAAACATACGGATGGACCAGTCTTGCCCGAAGCCCTTGCGCCTGCCTGTGAATGTGAAACTGGAGGCTCCCTGCAGAGCAGGGCTGCCCAGCAGCAGCGCCGAGGGACGGCGGCTCGGGGGACGCGCGGTGGCTGCGCTGCGTTACCACTGCAGGCCACGCAGAGGCCACGCACAGCGCCCGCGTCCCCGCAGACCCACTGCTCCATCCTCCCCGACGCGTGGTCTCTCCCGACACGCGTGGCGCCGCACGACCGCCCTTTGGCGCGTTGCTCGTTGACGCCGACACCCTTGCGTGCCGCTGCGTCTTGCTCAGGATGACACTCCCGGGCCAGCGGTCGCAGGGGGTCAGCGGGCCAGGCGGGTCCGCAGCCCGTCCCCCAGGTGGACAGACACAGAAAATCGGAGTCAGCATGAGGAGCTGCCCCGTTCTGCTGTTTGACAGAAGGACCCTCCGGGGGGGGACGGGGACCCGGGGACACTGGGCCCCCGACACCGCGAGCTTGAGACGCACATGCCGACAGCCCCAGGTGCCACGGGGCCGAGCGTGTCCGGGAGGGGACTCCAGGGCCCTGGGAGGGACGCGGCCCGCCCCCCGTCCTTTGTTCCCGGAACAACGTCTCTTCGTCTCTGAGGGTCTGGTAGACAGAGATCCAGGAGGGGCCGCTGACCCGGAGGCACGCGGCCGCCCGGGCGCCCGACCGGCCCTCCCCCAGGAGTGGCTTCTTCTGGGACGTGAGTCCCGCCCCCCCCACCCCCTGCAGACGCCCATTTTGGGCCCAATCCTGTTTTCTAAGAACATGGTGCCCCTGCCCATTATTTGTCTTTCTCTTTGTTTGTCTGCCCCTTAGAGACGGTTTAAAATGCGATGGCATTACTTCAGGTGCCTGGGGGTTTCAAAGTTTTCACCTCAGGCCCCAGCGGCGTGGCTCAGCCAGCTGGGCATTGTTCTGCGAACGGCAAGATCAGCCGTTCGACTCCCAGGCGGGGTACACGTTTGGGTTGAAGGCTCAGTGCCCGGTCGGGGTATGTAGGGGAGGCAACCGATCAACGTTTCTCTCTCTCCTCCCTCCCGCTAAAATGAAAAGTAAAATAAAGTTTCATCTCATTTCGGGGAGCGTTTCTCGCTGCAAACACAGGCCGTGCCATGGGAAGTGCTGCCAGCCGGGTCCCACGTGGCGACGGCACAGGTGATGGTCCCCGAGAGTGAACGGGAGGCGCCGTGGGGGCCGCGGTCCGGCCGCTCCGTGGCCGCCAGGGAAGCACCTTACTGGAGCGCGAGCGCGTAGTTTTCTCGCAAAAATGGCCACATTGACCCAAGAAGAGGCAGAAAACCCACACAGACAACTCGTCCTAGAGAAAAATGCAAAGATAGTTGAAAGTCCACCGTTAGCACAGCACCAAGAGCAGAGAGCCCCTGGGCCGCAGCCTGCGCCCTTCCGAGCCGGCCACGGGCCTGTTCCGGGCCGGCGGGCGCCGCCAGCGAGCTGAGCCAGATCTGGGGCCGGGGGCGGGGGGCGGGGGCCTCAAGGGTGGGAAGTGCAGCCCCGGGGCCCCTCGGTGGGCAGCAGGCGATGGGCGGGCGGTGGGGGCTCAGGGCAGGACACCCCGAATGTGCTGCCGGACCGGTGACCGCGACACCCACGCCGGCAGGGCCCTTCTTTGAATTTATTTGAGCCAAACTGCCGCTGCCCGGGAGCAGGGTCTCCAGAGCCGGGGCAGGGGCAGGGTGCAGGGAGGGTGAGGAGGGGGCGAGGGAGGCCGCAGGGGGCGGGCGAGAGCAGGGCCGCAGGGCCGTGGACGGAGGACCACAGAGGCCCGGGCTGCCCTGCGCCCCGCCCGGTCCGGGTTCGCGATCGGATCGCCGGGAGGCTGCTTCCTGTAGAGGCCCCCAGCCCGCAGGGCCACTCTGCGGGCCGTGGACGGAAGCGGCTCAAGAAACGGCGGGAGCAGAACGGGCACCCCAGGGCCGCCGGGTCCCTGGAAGGAGAACGGTCGGTCTCCGCATCGCGGGCTGCGTGTCTCTCTCTTGTCAACGCCTCAGAAGGGAAGGTTTCTTTGTCTAAAAGCGCAGAAGCCGTCCCCTGCCTCGGCCCTCTCTTCAGGTCTCATTTCTGTGAGGCCTCCCTGAGCCCAAAGGAAATCCCTTTTTTCTCCCCCGAACCGTCTTGAGTCCGTTTACTTCCGGCACCGGCCGAAGAACCTCGGAGCGGTGCTACCCGGCAGGGGTGGCCTTTGGGGCGCTGCGGGGGGCTGCCGCCCTCGCTGCCCACCAGGCCTCCTGCCCCCCAGCCCCCGGACCCGGGCCTTCCGGGGCCCCTGGAGGGGGCAGCGCAGAGCTGGCCTGTCTCCCTGTCTCGGGTGGGAGGGAGGGCGGGCCTGCGAGACAGGCCCTGGGCCACGGCGCCGTGGACTTGGTGACAGCGGAGACAGAAACGCGGCTTCTCTGCCTCCGTGGTCACCGGGTCCTGAGAGGTGTGACGGGGGGCAGCTTCTCTGGTCCCCCCATCCGGAAGGCGCGCTGGCCGGGGCGCCTGGTGGCCAGCTGAGGAGGCTCCTCTGCCCTCAGGGCAGCACCGGGCACCACCAGCCCACGCGGGGGGCCCGCTGGCCACGGCTCAGCGGGCTTGGGGGGCGCCTCGCGCCTGGGGGACCGGAAGCTCCGCGTGCCCCCCGCGGCCCGGGGAGGAGGCTTGCTCCTCGGGCTGCCTCAGGCGCTCCCTCTGGGGCGCCGCATGTCCTTGGTGAAGCCATGAAAGGGTTATTGGTCTGAGTCACTCTTAAGATAAATCCTTTAAATGGGAAAACCACCTAAATTTAAAAAAGCCATTTTTGGAGACGTCCTAACCTAGAAAATTGCAAGTTTCTTGTGACCTTGGCTAGGTAATTGTCCCTTGGGGCCCCCAAACTCCAGCCAGACAAAAATGTGGGTTTAAAGTGCTGAGAGCACCACCCCCCTGCCCAGCCCTGTGGGAGCCGCCGTTCCCGAGGGCCCCCCGGTGCCCCCCGGGGCACGGACAGCACCCTCGGGACCCAGCCGGAGCCGCGCCAACCCAGGGGGTCCTCAAAAGCCTGTCAGAGAATCCCCTCCTGAGATTCACGGATTTAGAAACTAATCATGAAATCGGGGGGCCTCTGGACGGACTGTGCCCGGCCGGGGCTGTTGCCCAGAGCCCGGTAGGGATTCTCTCCGGCCTCTCCCCTCGGGCTGTGGCAGCAGGAAGCACTGGGCTGCTGAGCGAGGCAGCAGGAAGACCCTGTGCGGACAGTCGCGGGTGGGTCCCCGTGAGGAGGGAAGTTTGAAATAGCGATGAAATGAGACCAACAGGTTAGAATCAAGGTTCTGCTGGGCAGGAAAAAGGGGCCCTAAGGTCCCCCACATTAAAGGCCCCAAACAAGTCCAGTGTGTTTACAACCCTGCTTGGAAAAAGTCTAAAGGCCGGGAAACAAATCTAGTGGAAGGGCCCAAGGCAGGCAGTAAGGGTGGCCGGCTGCGCTGCCCCGCGGCAGGGGCGGTGCCCTCGGGCCCTGCAACCCAGAGCGCCTGCGGGTCCCGCCTGCGCCCTCTGCCACAAGGAGCTCTCGTCCCCGGAGAGTCACAGAGCCTGAACAGGACGAAGTCCCCGTTCCCTCCACGTCCAGAAGACCCTACCGCACTCAGAGGGGAGCGGGGAAGAAGGGCCGCTCCCCTCCGCCCACGGCCCTTCCCGCCTAGAACGCTGGGCCCCTCCGCACCCGGGGACACCCACCGCCCAGAGCCGCCCAGAGGTGCCCGCGCCCCTGCACAGAGCAGCCCTGCGGCGCGGGCACGCCAGCCGGGCGCGAGGACACACGGCAGCAGGGCCCGGGGCCTGGCCCGGGGGTGGCGGACTAACTATCCGGTTCTCTGGGGAACGGGAGTTGTCTTTGTCTTGTGAAGCTTTGCAAAGCCGGACCGGAAACTCTAGAACCAACTCCAAGTCCTGCCTGGCACGTTCCTCCCCCCGAAGGAAAAGGCGGGGGGGCGGCAATAGCTGGGAACTGGGCAAATCAGAAACTTAAAAAGCTTATTTACAAATGCTAGTAAGAAGAGAACTTCAGCTGTCCGAGCGGACAAGCCTGACTCGTCCACACGGTTCTCACTCGGGCCGGGAAGCTGAGTGCCACGGCCCTAGCTCTCAGCCACGGCCCTTCCTCCACCCCGGCAGCTGGGGCCGAATCACCTCCCGGACGGGCTCTGTTTAACTGGTTCCCTTAAGCACTTCTATAAAAACTCTCGAAAAATATAGAAGTTAACCCATTTTTTTTTTCAAATTAGCATGGTTAGCGTGATATAATTCTCGGTAAGTAAGTTTGTTGGTTTAATTAAAATAGGCATGACTTCACAGTTACCAGAATTAGATGCAATGTAGATATGCAACCTTCATTCTGTCTCAGTTATTAATCAGGTAACCACATTATCACTGTCATAAAATGTGTCACCAAGAAAGCCTGGCCCTGGCCAGTGCGGCTCAGCGGGCAGGGCACTGTCTCACAAGCTGAATAGTCAGGGGTTCAGTCCCCGGTCAGGGCACAGGCCGGGGCTGCGGGTTCGGTCCCTGGTCAGGGCATAGGCCGGGGCTGTGGGTTCGGTCCCTGGTCAGGGCATAGGCCGGGGCTGTGGGTTCGGTCCCCGGTCAGGGCATAGGCCGGGGCTGTGGGTTCGGTCCCCGGTCAGGGCATAGGCCAGGGCTGCGGGTTCGGGTTCGGTCCCCGGTCAGGGCATAGGCCGGGGCTGCGGGTTCAGTCCCCGGTCAGGGCATAGGCCGGGGCTGTGGGTTCAGTCCCCGGTCAGGGCATAGGCCGGGGCTGCGGGTTCGGTCCCCGGTCAGGGTGCCCTACAAAAGGCAACTCACTGATGTTTCTCTCCCTCCCCTTCACTCTCCCGCCCCGTCTCTCTAAAATTAAAAAAAGTCTTTTTTTAAAAGCAGCAGCACAGCCTGGGATAACACCTGATGTTGTCTACCATCTCGTAAGACAGGGCTGCCCTGCCCCCGCGCCGGCTGCGCACCTGCCGGCTCATCGGCCTGCCAGGAGCCGGGCTGCAGGCCAGGGTGGGCGGTGGGCGCGGGGAAGCCCCTCAGCTTCGCGGCCGGGCCCCGCCTCCTGGACAGGGGGACCCGCCTTCCATGAAACGGGCCCCTGGTGCCGGAAGGGTGGGCTGCCACAAGGTTTCCATGAGCAGTTGAAGTGTGGTTATGAAAAACAAACAAATACACATAAATAAGAGGGGTGAGGTCTTTTGCAATGACTGCTTTGCCACGTGTCTACTTGAATAGCTTCCCCCCGTCTCCCGGGCAGCGCATGCCCCGGAGCGTCACCCGGCCGCATTCGGTGACGGGCACGCACCGAGCGTCTAGGCTGCCGGCGGGCCGGACGAGGCAGGGAGGCGCTCGCTGCTGGCAAGGGCGGGTCCACTTCTGTCCCCCGGTTATCAAGAAACGGGGGATATTTGGGTCTCTCAGGGAACAGCTGTAACGCCACGCTGAAGAGTTTTACTTTGTTTTTTTAATGAAAAGCACATCGCTAGAAATCATCCACGGCATGTGTCAGCCTGTCCGTCTTGCGGCGAGCCAGTGGGGACAGGTCACCGTCACCTGCCTCTGAGGGCACGCTAGGAGTTGAGTTTTTGTGGTTTTTCAAAAAAGATTTTATTTATTTATTTTTTAGAGAGGGGGAAGGGAGGAAGAAAGAGAAGGAGAAAACATCCCTGTGCGGTTGCCTCATGCGCACCCCCTGCTGGGGACCTGACCCGCAGCCCAGGCCTGTGCCCTGACCGGGAGTCGAACCGAAACCCTTTGGTTCGCAGGCCGGTGCCCAGTCCACTGAGCCACACCAGCTAGGACGACATTAAGGTTTTTAAGGGTTAAACATTCTTAATTAATGTGTAATTAGAGCTACAGAAATGAAAAAGGAAACATCTCCATTTGCAAGGAAGGTGAAATGTACATTTCAGTATAAAAAGGGCTGAGGTGTGGAAGTGCGTTTGATGAGGGAAAAGAAAGTTGCCCCAAAGCCTGTTAGGAGGAAGAGGAAGAAACAGAATGAGAACGTGGAGGAAGAAAGGCGTAGGTTAGTGAAATGAAACCTGTGGGAAGGAATTTTATGCCTGGTCAGGCTAAGATGAAAATACATTTATTTTAAAATGAGTTTTAATACCAAAAGTTCACTGGTTCAAAATTAAAACTGGTTTTCTCTTTCTGTTAAAAGGACAAAGTTTTCTCGAACTTCTGGTTTGCTTCAGATAATAGATTGTGAACGTTTCCTTAATTTTAAAGTAACTTCCTTGGAGAGCAAGATCTTGTATTTTATTAAAATAGCGTTCTGTGCCTCGCCGCTTCTGCTCCGGGCTGACCTCCTGTGACAGTGCCCTGTCCCTGCGGCTCAACAGGCGGCCGAGCACCGATTCCCGGGGACGGCGGTGCCTCTTTGACCAAGTGTTTTAGGAACCTTTCATATTTTTGACAAACTTCCCAAATGTCAAATTCTAAATTGTCTTTTTGACCTGAGAGGAACTCTGAAATTTTCTAGAAGGCCCTGCAACATTTCAAAAGCATGGCCTTCTGTCCCCATAAGAGGGAGACGTTGTCAGGCACCTGTGGCGCGCTGAGCGGCAGGGAAGAGCGCTCAGACACGCAGCAGCCGGCGGGCTCCCGACGGCGCGGGCACGCAGGGACAGCGAGCGCCCCAGGAGCTCCGTGAAGTTCCTGGAGGCCCGCTGTGTCCGGCGCTACCACGCCGCGTCTCGGAAGCGGGCACATTTCCTCACCAACCGTCTCGGGCCATTGCAAGCCCTTCGTCCCGCGCAGTTATTGCTTTACGCTGACGGTTTTCTACGCACGCGGCGCCATGGTCGCCGGGCGCTCTGCCTCGCAAAGGGCCTGGGGAGCGGCGTTCAGGCCACGGACAGGAGCAGGGGGGATGGCCGCAGGGGCGCGCCGGCCAGGCCCTGCGCACTGGGGTCCTCACAGCAACTCGAAAAGGGTGTGCAGGCGGAAGCCACCGGGGACCCGAGCACCAGGGTGGGGGCGGCAGGGGCGGCCGGACCGTGTCCTGGGGGGTGGCCGGCCCGCCCTGCACGCTGGGGGCGTGTGGTGCCCCTTTTTCTAATCCACACCCAAGGACTTTTTTCATCGCTTTCAGACAGAGAGACGTTGATCGGCCGCCTCCTTGTGCCCTCGAGACGTTCCGGTCTAGGAGAGGGCGCTCCAACTGCCCGAGCCACCCGGCCGGGACTGCGGCTGCGTCTTTTTTTAAAGAATGAGGCTGTGACCTGGCAGGTGTGGCTCAGCGGATCGACCCTCGTCTCATAAAGCGAAAGGTCGCCGATTCGATTCCCAGTCGGGGCCCAGGCCTGGGTTGCGGGCTGGGTCCCCAGTTGGGAGCGTGGGAGAGGCAACCGCACATGGGTGTTTCTCTTGCACATTGGTGTTCCTCTCCCTCTCTCTCTCCCTTCCTTGCCCCTCCATTAAATACATACGTACATACCTGCTTAAAAATAAATGAGGAAGAGTGACGCGGCCTCCCTTCGGAAGCAGCGCCCTTGGAGACAGAGCTGGCCTGGCTGGGGGCGGCGCAGCGCCTGCCTCGGCCGGCCGCGCTCCGTGGGACTCTGGCGGCCACTGTGCCGGAGCGGCAGCCGGTGGGCCTGGACTGCGGCGGCCGCAGCGCCATGGACCAGCTGTCTGTTTGCAGCGGCCGCCAGGGAGCGGGTTCGGGAGCTCCCTCTGGACCTCCCTCTGGCCCCGCTTCTGCCCACAGGGGTGCCTCTGTTCCCCCTCCCTGCCCCGCGGCCCCCCAGGGCCGAGCGTTTCGGGGCCGGTCCCGCGGCCTCGGGCTCACCTGCCGGCCGGCCCAGCTCGGCCCGGAGCCGGTTGCCCAGCTCCAGCAGCTGCTCCTTCTCCTGGCGCAGGCGGAAAGCGGCCCGCGCTGCCTCCTTCAGCTTCCTCTGGAGCTGCCGCACGGATGCAGCCTGCGGGGGCTGCGCCCCTGGGTCCTCGGCCCCTGCGGGTCCCCCAGCTGCCAGGCCCTGTGAACAAAACCCACTGGGCTGCAAGGTGCGCCCCCCTGGTGACGGGCACCATTCTGAAACGAGAGGCCTGAGGGACAGCTGTTCACGTCTGTCAGCCCCTGTGTACACGTCTGTCAGCCCCTGTGTACACGTCTGTCACAGGCGGGATGCCCTGCACCTCTGAGCCCGGTTCCTTCCCAGCCCCAACGCGGGGGCCCCTGTCTTCCCCCACCGGTGCCTTCCCAGCGAGGAAAGCGAGCTGGCCAGCACCCAGCCTGGCCTTGCATGCATCCCCCGGACCCACGAGGGCTGCGCGTGGGACGGGACCCTCCCTTGCGGCTGCAGCCTGGCCGGGGCCGGAAGGGACCCGGGGGCCGCGGGGCCCACCCGTCCGCGCAGTCCCCCTCCCGCCCTGTGCTCCGCCGGGGCCGCGCTCCCAGAGCCCGTGCGGGCTGCGTCCTGCCTCCGGCCCAGGCCTGGCGCGCCGTCCACCCGCCCTCCGGTTCGCCTCGGGCGCGGCAGAGGGCCCGGGCTCCCCGCCACCCTGACGAGGCCCAGAGAAAGCAGGGCCACGGTGGGGGGGGGGGGGCGCTGCCAGGGCCTCTAAGATGACACTCGAGGTCGGAGCCCCCCAGTCCTAGGGCCGCTAACGCGTCTGTCACCCTGACCCTGACCCGCCTCACAGCTCCTGCAGGGCCGCGTGGTCCCATGGGAAGCGCCTGAAACCGGGCGGGGCCCGGCGAATAAGGGGAAGGAAGAGGGGCCGCCTCTGTGTCGGGCGGGAGCCCAGCCCCGAGGGAGGCCGGCGGCCTACTTAGCTGCTGCCACCTGAGAAAAGCCACTGTGTGCCTGTCCTGGACGCACAGCCTGGCACCGACACCAGGAACCAGCCCCTGTCCCTGGCACAGGCCAGCACGTCCTGTCCTGACCCCTCTCCCCGTGGGCCTTGCAGGCTGGGCAGGCGCCCCTGCCCGGGGGCCCCGGGGCCCCAGCCGCTGCCCCACGCTGGCAGGGGTGGGGCCGAGTCGGGGGCAGCTCGAGCACCCGGGGCCTGGCCGGTGTCCCCCGCAAGTGGGACGGGGCCACAAGTGGAGACCTGGGCCTGCCAGGGGGCGGGGACAGGCCCGGAGGCTGCAGCGGGTCTGCGCTCAGGCCCTGCACGTCCCCCAGGGCCGACCCGACCAGCTGTGAAGCCCTCACGGCCCTCCAGGTGCGCTGGCCAGGGCGGCCAGCACACGCCCAAGGCCCCGTCCTGCCCGGGGACACACTGTTCGGCTCCGTGTTCTGTTGGCCGAGGGCAGGGCAACCTGGAAACAGGGTCCGCAGCCCCAGAGCACTTGGCGACGTGAGAGGAGGCGCCCCCGGTGCCTTCTGAACACGGGTGTCCCCGCCCCGCGGCCACACGCGGGCGGGGTCCTGGTCCGACCGTTTGACCGTGGTGACTCTGACGTCTCTCCCCACGCTGGCAGCTCGATGCCGACGACGGCCGGGGCGCCCAGGACCCGCCCCGTGAATGCTGGGCCCTCGCCGCCGCCTGGCCGCCGGGAAGGAAACGGCCAGGAGCGGTCGGAGCCAGGCCTCCTGAGACGGTGCTTCTGTGCTTGAGGGCAGCAGGTGCCGCTTCGCGGGGGCTAGGCCCACGCCCACGAGAGGCTGCGGGGTCGCACGGGCGGGTGGCGGCTCTGAGCCGGCCACACGGCGCAGCCACACCCCTGAGCCGGTCCCCAGTGTCCCACGGAGCCTGCGGACACTGCCCCCCAGTGGACCCGCGCGTCCCTACCGGCACTGCAGCTTTCGGGCTGGCAGGAGCGGCCGGCAGGCCAGGCGGAGGGCGAAGGCAGGAGACCCTGCTGGTCAGCAGGTCAGCGGGGCTGCCGCCCCTCCACCCCTGCCCCCCGCACGCCCCCCTGCGGGAGTCCCCCGCTTGCCTGGTCCCTCCCCCGCCAAGAGCGGGAAGCTCAGGAGCACATATCTGGGCCCAGGGGCACAGCCCAGGGGCGCAGCCGGACACACGCCCCTCCCTCCTCTCTAGCGAGACCCCACCTGCCCCTGGGGCACCTCCGTAGCCTTCCCTGCTAACCCTAACCCTGCCCTCAGCTGCAGACACCTGCTGGGCAGCCGAGGGCTGGGGCCTGGGAGGCCTGCTGGGGCAGCGGGGAAGGGGGACCGGCCGCCGGGGTTTCCTGTGCCCGAGATTTCTCCCCCAGGGAGCGGCCTTCCCGAGGTCACAGGACGCTTGGACTCGGAGGAGCGTAAGGCCCTGACCGCTGTGCAGAACCAAGGCCTGGAGGGCTTGCTCCCACCGGCACCGGCCTGTCTGCCGGACGATGGCCCCTCGATTCTAAGTCCTGCTGATTTGCCTAATTTCTTCCCTTTCACTGGGGACAAACGGGGTCGACGAGTGATGGGGCCTCGAGGGCCCCGCCTGGCACCGAGCGCCTGGCAGAGCCCAGGACATGCCGTGGACAGAGCACAGGCTGGGCCAGGACTGGCCCTGGGTGGCCGGGGCGCGTCCAGTCCTGACGGCCCAGAGGCCAGCGCTGGGCCGCCCGCCCGCAGCCCGCCTCCCGCACACCCTGCTGTCCTCCCGCGCACGCTGTCCTCGGGCCCCCTGCGCGGGCGGCGCCCCAGACCAAAGCTCTCCCCTGAGCCCCGTCCCCTCGGCTCCGGCAGCACGTCCTGGCGCCTGTCCCTCTGGGCCCCCAAGTTCCACCGTCACAACCTGGCCCTGGGACGAGAGCTCCTGGGGGCGCGGGAAGGCGGCGGCCCTGCTGTCTGACCTCGGCGCGATTCCGGCCCGGGGGCTTCTGGCGCCTGCCAGGCAAGATCCCGGAGGAAGAGGCCCCCCGAGGGCCCCTCAGGAACTGGCCGAGCGGTCGCGCCGGGAGGCGCCTTCGGAGGGGGCACCACGGGCCGCGGCGAGCCCTCCCTGCGGCTCAACCCCGGGGGGCCGGGCCAGGGCCATGGCGGGAGCCCGCGCCCCCTGCGCCGGTGGCCGCCACGGCGTGCAGCACCCGCTTCAGACACTGAGGAGCCCATGGACGCAACAGGGTCCTCTTGAAGGAGACTCCAAGTTAGTGCTTGGTTTCAGGGCTCCGCAGGGCCTCAGGGCTCCTGCTTGGAGGACAGAGACCAGCCCTTGTCATGCGTGCAGGTTCCCCGCACGTGGCTTCTGAACCAAGGGGTCGGAAAAACCCGAAGGAGTGATGTGGGCCCTGCCCCCCCAGCAGCAGGGTGTCCCCCCAGACGGAGAGAGAGGCGTGAGGGGAGGGAGTGGGAGACGGCGGGAGACCACCCGCGGGGAGCACCCCCGGGCACCCTCTGCACGGAGGCCCAGCTGCCCGGGGGGTCCGAGGCCGGCGCGGGGCACCCACCTGTCTCCCGAGGGCCTCGGGGCCCGGTGCGCGCGGCCGCCACCCGCCCGGAGGCTCCCCGCCTCCCTGTCGCGCTGTCCCAAGGTGCTTCTCCAGCTCGGCCACCTGCGCCTGCAGCTCCAGCGCCTCCAGGTGCACCTGGTCCACCTCGTCCACCTCCAGGGGCTCCTGCAGCACCTGGGGGCCGTGGGAGGCACATCAGGAAGGAGGGGCCGCCGTGGACGGGCTGGGGACAGAGGAGCAGAGGCGGGCGGCGGAAGGCACAGGAAAGTCAGGCGGGACACACAGCTCTCAGGCTCTCGTTTGTTTGAGGTGCTCACCCACAAACCTGCGCCGCTGCCCTCTAGCCGGCCCGGCCTGGCCCCCGGGGACCCCCTTCCCGGCCCGCGGGCAGGGGCGTGAGTGCCCAGGCAGAGCCGAGGCGCGGCCGGGTGGGCCAAGGGTCCGCGTTCAGAGGCATCTCGTCAGAGGCAGAGCCTCGGAAGCCCTCGGCGGGCGGGTGCCCGGCACCACTGGGACAGACTCTCGGGAACCGGGCGGGGGGCTCAGCTCTGAAGAGGTGGGTGGGGGCTGGGGGCAGACGCAGGCAGCGGGGGACGGAAGGCCGGGGGCCGCAGGCAGCTGCGCGGAGCCAGGTGGCCCCTCGTCTCCCCCAGCGGTCTGCCGTCCCCCTGGCATTCAGGGGGACAAGGACGGGCAAGGGGAGGCCCTCAGCTCCCTCCCCACCGCACCCTTGGAGGCCTAGGCTCAAGGACCCCAAAGTGAAGACCTGGTGCATGTTGTGTCCTCAAATTTGTCATACACCCTAGAAAAGGTGACTGTTTGGTAGCCCCTGTTAATTAAAAAATAAACCGGCGCCGGTGGGTGCGGCTCCGAGGACTGGACGCCGGCCTGTGACCCAGGGGTCGCAGCTGGACTCCCAGTCGGGGCCCAGGCCCGGGGTGCAGGCCGGGTCCCCAGTGAGAGGCAACCACACACGAACGTTTCTCCCCCTCTTTCTCTCTCCCTTCCCCTCTCTCTGAAAACAAATAAATAAAGTCTTTAAAAAACACACACATAAAAAATAAACAGAAAACATTTCAAGGTGGAGACTGTCACTGTCCCGGGAACACAGAACCACCTGCAACTCCCCAGACGGAACTGCCATCCCGCGGGGAGCTTTCGCCCCCGGCCGCCGCGGGCGCGCACGGCACCGGGAATGGCGACTCGGGGGCGCGGGGGCTGCGAAGCCCCCCCCCCCCGCGCCTCTCCCTGCTGCGGTGGACACGGGCGTGGCCGCTCCCCTGCCTGCTGACGGCCCACCTCCTGGCCGGGAGGCCTGCACGGACGCTGCGCCGAGGGAGCGAGGCCTCCGGGCATTCGCGCCGGCAGCTGGCTCAGGGCCCGCGTTCCACCCGCCCAGGGAGCCTCCCCGTCGGAGGCCTGCTCAGCCTGCCGGGCGGCCATACCTTCCGCCGGAGCCGGGCCACCAGGAAGTTCAGCAGACGGGTCCTGCCTCCCAGCCGCCTGAGCGCTGACCCCACGCACGCCCCGTCCACGGGCGCGGCCCCTCCTGTAGAAATGGAGACTGTCAGGCCCAGCCCCAAAGCCGCGGGCCCTGTGTCGTCCAGGGTAGGGGCACACGCTTCTCTGCCCCCACCCAGGATGCCCCTGCCACCACCGGTCCCGTGACGTGGTGACACTGGACAGGAGGACCCCACAGAGTCTGAGACGTGTTCAGGGTAACGCACTATCCTTACGCCAAGAAAGCAGGACTCCTTACGGGAAAACACCCCACCCCCACCTGGTGCCCAGAGGCCAACAGACACCAGGCTCCTCGCCATTTGTGTGGCAATTAAGAAAACTGTCGCACAGCCGTGGGTCCCGGGGAAGCACAGGGGACATTGGAAACTGCCCTCAGCTGAGTGTCCTGAAAACACTGGGGACAAAGCTCAGGGAACGTGCCCAGAGCCGCCCCCAAGAACGGCTCGCGGCCACAGGAGCTTGTTTCACAAGAGGGAGGCTAAAACCCCTGCTGCCGACATCCACTTCAGAAACGGAGACAAAGAACCACGGCAGAGTCGGAGGAAGGAAAGAATAAAGCCAGGGCGAGATATGAGGAAACAGAGAATAAATGTGTAATTAAAAGGCCAAGAAAACCAACAGCCCGTTCTTTCAAAAGGCCTTTAAAACAGCTGTCAGCGTGCAGCCCCGGAGGAACCCACGTGGAACCAGCGGCGCTAACACGGCTGAGGCTCGAGAGCCGCGCCGAGCACGGCCCGAGTAGCCGGGCACAGACCGGTGCCGGGCGGCAGGCACGCCCCACCGGGAGCGCCGGCGCGCAGCGGGCGGACGGCCCGGTGAAACCCGCGGAGAGGTAAGACCAGCGAATGAGAACCAGAATTTCACGGCGTGACACTCAAAGTGTCCATGGCAGAATCCAAAGTTACCTGTCACACTAACACCCAGGGATGGCTCAGCCTGAATGAAAAAAGACAACAACGAGGTGACAGAGATGCGGCAATTATGTGACGAGGGTTTTAAAGCAACCCCAACAAGCCACCTGAGACCCTCCTGGAGCAAATGGAACAATGAGAGTCTCGGCAAAGGGACAGTAGAAATAAAGGAACACAAAACGGATGCTGACATTAAAACCTCCCCGGGCCGGCTGAGTGGCAGCACCGGGGCGGGAGAAGCAAGAGCCGCCGAGCCTGAAGGTGGGGAGCGGCAAGGACCCCGCCTGAGCCTCCGGGGAAGCTGGCGGGACATACAGTGACAGAGCCTCAGGGGCAAGGGCAAAAAACAGATCGAACCTCTGTTGTCATCGGGCAAAAAGTCCCCGGAGCAAGGCCGGTAGGAAGCCGAAATGACGTGTGTAGACACAGCGGCCGAAAGTTCCTCAGACTCAGCAACAGACACGAAGCCTCAGAGCCAACGCCCGGCGGCCACGCCCGGCCCAGCGCAGCCCATTCGGAGCCGGGACGGACTCGGGTGGGACCGGCGGGCGCGGACCACAGCAGCCACAGGCCTCTGCCCGGCAGGAAGGCACAGGACGCGTTTTGGGGCTGGAAGCAAAGGCCTGTCATCACTTTGTCCCAGTGGGGATGCTCTCAGCGTGCAGGCGGAAGGAAGCTTCCTCGGAGAGGGGAAACCGAGGCAGGCCTGCTGAGACCGCCCTGCCGGAGGGAGCTTCAGCAGACGGGGGCGGCCGCGAAGGGAACTGGGTCCCCGGGGACGAAGACAGGCAGGTCGATGTGACGGACCGCACCTTCCTCTTGAGCTTTTAAAGTTACGCTGGACACTCGAAAGTGAAAATGAAGGTCCCGTCTGGTGACGTCTCCATGTGGGAAGGGGTGACGTTTGTGGCAACACGGGAGCAGGAGCCTGACAGGGGCGGGGGACCCATGTGCCCTCGAGGCTGTGGAACGCTGATGGGGCTGGGCCGCGCTGGTGGGCGCACGGTGACCCCCGCACAGCCATCAGGGAATCCGCCCCGGAAACGCCCTGAGGGGCCTCTGGCCGGGAGAGGCGACCGCGGGCCGTGGAGGGCGCCCAAACTGTGACTCCTCCCGAACTCACAGACGCGCCCATCAAACGCAGCGAAACGGACGTGGGGGCCACCGAACCGCCTGCTGCCTGCGAGAAGCCCACCTCAGACACGAGGACCGGCCGGGCCGCGGAGGCCGATGCGCAGACACTGCGGGGGAGGAGGCGGCCCGGCCGGAGCCAGGCGCGTGCGCTGCAGGGCGAGGAAAGCTGCCGGGGCGGCCTCGCGTGAGGATGCGCGGCCCGGCTCTCCGGGGACGGGACAGCTTGGGCCCGTGCAGCTAACGACGCGGCTCCGAAACACACGTGAGGCAGAAATGGACAGGACCATAAGTTTTAAAAAAAGATTTGTGTAGAAGTAGGAATAGAAAGAAACTTCCTTCATCTGACCAAAAAACAGGCACGAGAAAGAGCCCTGAAGCAGGCGTGGACCCCGGCGAGGGAGCCCTGTTCCCAGGACGGGGGAGCCGGCTGCCTCCCGCGCGCTGCCGCGGGGCCCCGTGGGGAGACGGCAGCAGAAAGGGAAGAGAAGCGGCAGCCCGGGCGCGGGAGGGGCTCCCTCTGTGGGCGACGGGGCGCTGCGGCCGCCAGAAGGCCCTGGCGGACCGTCTGCGCGGCCGGCACCCCGGCCGGGTGGGGGCGTCTGGACGTGCGGCGGGCAGCCTGGCCGGGCGGCCAGAGCCCAGGACAGCCAGGGAGGCCGCTCACATCCAGGGAGCTTGACGGAGAGGTAGCAGCACCAGGGGCTGGCAGCCAGGTTTCCCACCGTCCGCAACGGAAGCCAGGGGGGCGAAGAGGAGACAACGAGGGCGCGCCCCGTGGTGTTGGACGGACCCACAGGCCGAGCAGGTCTGTCTTGAAGGTAAGCCCTTCCGTTCGCCAAGAGACCCCGGCAAAGGAACGAGCGTCGCCTGAGCGTCAGCCTCTGTGGCGGCAGCTCCGGCGGCCTGGCCAGATCACGCCCCACGGAGCGCGGGGGCAGACGCGGAGGGGGGCGCGGGCGCGAACCACAGCAGCGTGTCCCGCGGCCCCGGGCGGTGACTCCGAGCCCAGAGAGGGTGGCCGAGCACGCGGGGGCGGGCCCCTCGGCGCAGAGGGCGAGCAGGCAAGGCGCGGGCCGGGCGGCCCCGAGCGCCACATTCGCACTCCGGTGCAGAGCCGAGACAGCGCTCGTGGGACGGAGCCCCAGGCGCACCCGAGGGGGCCTCACCAGTGGCTTCCGCTGCAGGGGGGACGCTGGGCGTGGCCTCACTGTGCGGCGGGGACACCTTCGGGGGCTCCGGCACATCTCCCAGCTGTTCTTCCAGGGCTTTAAATTTGCACTTGAGATCTCGTATTTCTGCCTCAAGGGCTAGAACGTAATCTGCCAAATAAAACAGCCGGCCCGGTAGGTGCGCGCTCACAGGGACGGGCACCCGTGCCATCCTCGCACCGGTCGAGCCTCGAGCGCAGCCGTCTCAGCAGCCCGGGCCCCTCCACCCACAGCCGCCCGGGACCCCCCTCGGCCCTGCGGGCGGGGTGCCGTCCACCTCTGGCCAGCACCCTCCCCAGACAGGCCTGTCGCCCACCGGCTGCGCTGACCCAGCCGTCAGCCCGAGCCTCCCTCTGGTGTGTGTGCCAAGCCCCCTTCCCTTTCTTCTTCCATTTTTTACCGCACATGTGAAACTGTCACGAGGTCGTTTCCCTGGAGGAAAGCGGCCGACAGATTTTGAAGGAGTTTATGACCAGGATGGTCAGTTCTGAGCACCCAGGAAAACACGTGGGACCCTGTGGAGACCTGTCCTGGCCCCTCGCTCACCAGGGGCGGCGGTGGCCTGCTCGCCAGGCTGCGTGCCGGGCTGCTCCCCGGGCTGCGGGGCGCTGACCGCGCCCCCCGCCAGCGGGGCCGGAGGGAGCACCTGCCGGCTCAGGGCCTCCATCTCCGCCCTCATGCGGGCGACGGCTCCCCGCAGGCTCGTGTTCTGCTCCCGCAGCCGCTGCAACTCCGCAGACGGGACACTCGCACCCGCTTCTTCTCCTTGATGCCTCGGGAGCCCCTGCCGGACACAAGGCAAGGAAAGGGACCCACCAGCGGCCGCTGGGCCGAGGCCACGCTGTCCCCGCGTCCCCTGCCCTCTGGACCCGCTCCCCTGCGCCCCTCATCGGTCCTCAAGTCAAACCGTGCAGTCGCCTTCCTTCCTAAATTGACAGAAGAACAAAAAAATCTCTTTTCTCTGCGTTTCATGGGGCAAGACTGTTTTTGGAGGTAACTTCTATTGAGAAATCTGGGAACCCTTCCTTTTCAGTCAGTCATTAGTCACCCGGCAGGTGCCTGCGATAAACACACAGATGGCGACACATGCTGGCGAGGACGTGGAGAAGGGGAACCTCGTGCACGGTGACAGGGAACAGCCGTGGCCGCTGCGGAAAGCCTGGCAGGTCCTCAAACAGTTCCACCCAGACCGTCGTCCGACCGAGCGGCTCCCCGCCCAGGTCTGCCCCCATGGGAGCCGCACGCGTCTGCGCGGAAATGCGCCCACGTGCGCCCCCGGGCGTCCCCCGTAACGGCCCACGTGTGGAAGCGCACGGCGGCACCAGGACGACGTCATGCGAGTGAGCCTCAGGACGCTGGAGGGTCATCCCTGTGCAGGTGCTCAAGGGTTTAAAGAGAAGCAAGAACGTGAAAAGAAGAGCAATGGAAGACGTTTAAAAAAGAACCACGTGGCATCTGCAGAGATAGAAACAGATCATCTGAAACAAAAAACTGACCAGACAGGGCGGGTCTAAGAGCAGATCAGACCCTGCAGGACAGGCCGGCGGACGCGGACGCAGGGGCGGACACACACATTCAGTGCCGTTCGCTGTCCAGCACAGAGGGAGGCCAGGCAGGGGCGGGGAGCCCGGCAGCACTAACCTGCTCCTTCTGCTCTGGGAGGAGCCCGTGGGTCCTCAGGGCCTGCAGGGCCTGGTCCCTCTCTAGGGTCACGGCCGCCAGCACCGCCTCCTTGTCGCACAGCCTTCGCTCCGCCTCCTGGAGCCTGGCGGCAGCCTGGGAAAAGAGGGACCCAGTCCACCCCGGGCAGCGAGGGGGGACGGGCCCGGACCGCGGCCGCCACGCAGAGACCGGGGCCCTGGCCGTGCCACGCAGGCACCGGGGCTGCAGGCGCCGCCCGCTCTCTGCCCCCGCCCCCCTCGGCTGCCCCCACCCGCTGTTCGCGGACGTGGGGACCGTCCTGCACGGGTCAGCTGGAGGCACAGCCAGTAAAACGCAGAATGAGGCCGTGGGCAGGGCGGAGGCACACGGGTCAGGACGGGTGCTGGGGTGACAGGTCAAACTGCTTGGGGTGGAACCGTGTTTCCACGTCAGGGGGCGACCCGCCAGAGCCCAGCCCCGCGCCCGCGGAGCACAGAGCCGCGGGGCAGGGCCTGGGGGCGCACCTGCTCCCTGGCCTCGGCCAGGCCCTGGATCAGCCCCTCGGACTGGCAGTAGTGGTCCCGCTCCAGGCTGGCGCAGCGCCGCTGCCAGTCCAGGCCCAGCTGCACCTTGTCGCGCTCCAGGCTCTGCTCCCTCTCCGCGGCCAGAGACAGCTGCTGCTGGTACCTGGGGACGTGAATGAGTGTCTCGAGCGTCACACCGTCGTCCTCCGGGCCTCGGGCCTGAGCTGTGCAGGTGAGGCGGACGCCCAGGGCTGTGGCCGCGCCGGCCCCCCGGCTCTGGGCCGGCCTGTCCCTATGCACACGGACACCGCTGGCTCGGGACGGGTGGCCAGGGGGTGTTTCTGTGTGTGGACGTGGACGTGGACCTCCGACAGGCTCAGCTCAGCCGCGAGCACACGGGACGGGTCCTCCCAGGACTGAGAACACCCAGCCCGTGGGAGAGGCCGTCGAACTCAGGCAGGAGGAGAGCCAGCTTGCAGGGGGAGAGGAGCAGGCGCCTCGGCTGCAGACGCAAACCTGACCGTGTGGGAACCGGCGGGCAGAGGGGCAGCGCGGCCGCGGCTGTGGGCGCAGCCGAGAGCTGGAAGGCGAGGGAGGGAGAACCCTCGGAGGTGAGAAGACACTCGTCCAACAGGAGACACCCACCCTCGCAAGGACAGCAGGAGGTCTAGAGAGACGGAAGCAGAGGGTAAGAAAACACCGAGGAGACAAAGGAGAAAGCGTGCGCGTTGGAGAGACCGTGCCTCCGGTGGGATCGCCGCCAGGGGCCACACTGACACGGGGCCGCACCCGCACGGCCTCCCGGCTGAGGGCCAGGCGGTGCCGACGGACACCCCCACCGGCCCACCGGCCTGCAGGAAGCAGGTGCGGGCTGGGAGGGGGCCCCGGGGGCCAGCGCCCCGCTGACTCCCGAGGGAGCCGGGAGGGGAGCCCGAGCCACAGAGCTCGTGGGGCCCTGGGCAGCGACCCCGACTTAGGAGCCCCAGGACCCAAGACGTCAGTGGGTGCCAACTGAAGACACCGAGCCCGCGGCGCTCAGCCACGGGGCGGCGGTGAAGCCGCACACAGCGGCTGGGATCCGAGGGAAGACGACGTGGACGCAGGGCGCCAGCCCGGCTGCGTGGGCGGCCGAGCCCGTGGGTCACCGCAGGGCAGGGCGCGCGGGACAGCTTCTCGGCCGCAGGAATGGACCAGAGACACTGACGACGGAATCGGCAGGGAACGGCGTCTGAGGATGGGGGGCGGCCAGGCAGAGAACGAGGAGAGGCGTGAAAAGCATAATGTCTGAGGGGGAAACTCGGTGGCCTGACCGGCAGGTCAGACACTACAGGGAGCACGTGGCCACCTGGCAGGACGTCACCTCGCAGACACAGGCTGACACGGACACATGGCGGCCCAGGAGAAAGGGGGCCGGCAGGACAAAGCTCCTCGCACACCCTCACCAACCGCGGCCACCAAATGAAGGAGAACCAGCAATCCGTCGGGAGGAAGGCGCAGGGAGGAAACGGCGCATTACAGAGGAACGAAGGTGACCACGGCGCCGTCACGGGAATTCTCAAAGGGAATACTGTCCCCTGGGGTCCTCCATCCAGGGGAAGGGGGTTCAGGGAGGCAGGGGCCCGAAATCCCAGACGGCGCAGCAGCCAGGCTGCGGGGCCGCGCGGGGCGCGGGGCGCGGGGCATCGGGGCAGGAAAAGCGGGGAGAAGGGAGACTTGGACGCCGGTTTTCAGAGACGGGAGCACCGGGAATGGGGGTCAGAGAGAGCATCAAAGCTCTGCTCTCCGTTTCAAGTTTTTAAAGGAGAGTTGTCCGATCCAATGAAAAACAACTATACGTGTAACTAAATATATAAAAGTAGAATGTATGACAACAGTATTAAAAAGAAAGAGAGAAAAGGAACAGCCGCGGCTGGTGCGGCTCAGGGGCCGGCCTGCGGGCCCAGAGGTCGCGGGCGTGGTCCCCGTCAGCGCCCAGGCCCGGGCTGCGGGGTCCCCAGCGGGGGGCGCGCGGGGGGCAATGATGTGCTGGAGTCTCTCCCTCCCTTTCTCCTTTCTACCCCCACGCTCTAAAACTAAATCTAAAAACATATTTTTTTAAAAAAGAGAAAAAATAGAAAGTTATAAGGATATTTCATTATAAAGAGGCAGACATTACTTGGAAGTAGACTGTGCAAATTGTAAATCTCAGAACCATCATTAAATAAGCAACAAGGTTTTTCTAGTCCTCACCGTGGAGGTACTCACTGACTCTGAGAGAGGGGAAGCGCGGGAGGGAAACGGGGGGAGAGACGTCGACTGGCCGCCTCCCACTGCGCCCGGACGGGGCCAAGCCAAAGGCTTTACTGAGACAACAGTGGGAGGAAAATGGAATTCTAAAAAATACTCAGTTTATTTTTTGAAAGGCAGACAACCCCCATGAGGGATAGAAAACAAATACTCAACTGGAGGTTTAAACCCAAACACGTCAACAAGAGTATTCAATTATCTAAACACTCAAACGAACAGCAGAGGTTGTCACACAAGAGAGAAAAAAAAAAAAGCAAGACCGAGTCAAGGCCACGGTAGGGAGCACGTTCGTGTTAAACACACAGCCGCACAGTCAGAGGACGGCGGGGGCCGCACAAGCGGTCGGGGGCTCCCGGGATGGAGGGCGGCCCCTCGAGGAGCCGCAACGGCCCAGCAGGCGCCGCCCGGGGGGAGCCCACTCCCTCAGCCCACAGGAGACGGCCACCGCGCCACACATAGGTGACGCCCCGAAGCCACAAAACCAACCCACACAGGAGAGGTAACCCCACGCAGAACGTGCCCTCTGCCCAGAGCAGAGCTGAGTGAGGGTCCAGCAACAAAGGGGAGTCCGGGAACCTCAGAACGCGAGGGACACAGCCGAGCAGGGCTCGAAAGAGAACTTCTAGCGCTGGATGCTTGCATTGCTTGCAAAAGGGGAATGGTCCGAAGCTGCTAATCTAAGATTCCACCCCTGGGAGTCATGAGAAGAACATCGAATTAAAGCCGAAGGAAATATTTAGAAGAAAGAAAATAGTAAGGATGAGCACAGATACCAAGAAACCGAAGACAGGAAGACAACGCAGAAAAATTCTATTCTTTCCTGTTCTTGCCGTGCCTCCCCAGTGGAAGGCGGGGCGGGGCCCAGTGCCCGGGCCACCCGGGGAGGTCACCTTCCGATGTCCTGCCGGCACCGGGCCAGCTGCGCCTTGAGCTCCACTTCCTCCTCCTGCAGCGACTGGACCCGCAGGTCCTTGGAGGCCATCTCCTTGGACAGCTGAGCGACCTGGGCATCCCAGCTGGATCGCAGCACGGCCGCCTCTTCCCGGAGTCTAGGCAGGAAGGCGGCTGTGAGTGGGGGGCGGGTCCCTGGTGCACAGCCCGCTCCTGCGCCCGCACCGACACACGCCCTCGGGGGTGCGACGGGCCAGTGTGGCTTCCCCCCTCGTGCGCCCACATCGGGGGAGACCCCCTCGCCGAGAGCAGCGGGGGGTCCCTCTCACCAGCTCGGGCATCGGCCAAGCCCCCGCGCCAGGACGGCCCGACAGGCCAGGTGCGCGGGCAACGGCGAGCCCTGGGTCCTCTCGGGCCCCTGGCCGTGCACCTCGACATGGAGACGTTCGCCACGTGTTTTCAAACCAGAGAGTAAAACTGATGGTCTAACATGACTTTCAATGTCCTGGTAGAGTCACCAAACACCAGATTAATTTCCCCAGAAGAAAAACGCCAGGATGCTCACGATGTAAGCCACAGCTCCGAGGGCACAGAGGCGCCGGCGCGCCCTCGGCTCCTGCCCCGGCCCTCGGCTCCTGCCCCGGCCCTCGGCTCCTGCCCGGGCAGCACGCAGGTGCCGACGGGGGACGTGAGTGGCCCCTGCCGGCCACGGCTGCAGCCACAGGTACAGGGGTGGTGGGCGAGCGGAGGGAAGGCATGATCGGCTAACAGCCTTTGACCCGAACCCCGAGCACAGCAGATCCCACCGAACATGGGCCACAGGGCAGGGAGGGGCCTCGCGCCCTCGTCGGCGAGTGCCAGCCTCCCCGTCGAGGCCGGAGCCGGGGCCCCCGGGGCCGGCAGAGCACCAGTGGGCTGCACAGGCGCCCAAGCACTGGCCAGCCTGAACTGAGGCGTGGCTGCCGGACACCGCGGCGCGCCAATGCGGAGCAGCTCAGCGGAGGTTGTTACAGGCAGGTTCAGGGACCCCGTTTGTTAGCCAGTTCTGTCCCGATCACTCATGATGGGGTGGGAACAGCCGTGTGACGACACGAATGCACTCACTGCCGCGGTTAAGATGGCGAGCGCTGTGTGGGTTTGGCCGCAATAAAAGAGGCGCGCGGTGCACACACACACTTCAAAAACAGTGCGGCCCGAGACCCCGCAGCGACCCAGGCCGCACTCACTTGTCGATGGCGGCGTCCTTCTTCTTCAGCGCGTCCGCCTGCCCCGACTCAGCCCGGCGGGCCTGCAGCTCGAGGGCCTCGCACTGGGCCTGCAGCTCGAGGACCCGGGCCTCCAGCGCCCGCAGCTGCTCCGCGTGGGCGCCCTTCACCGACACCAGCACCGCATCCCTTTCCCGGGCCGCTCGGTCGAGCTCCTCGTGCCTGGAAGACAGAGGGCGCACATGGCTCACGCAGGGCCCAGTGCGGCGCCCTCAGCCCAGTGCCGTGGGGACGGGAACAGTGTGCACGGGCCGTGGTGGCCGAGGTGCGCCCCATGCCTGTCACTCTTCACACAAAGGGCGGCGCTGGCTGGGAGGTGGCCGTCCCGAGGCGAAGCGTCTGTGCTGACCCTGCTCTGCGAACGTGGTATCAGGGGCCCAGCACCTTCACACTGAGCTGTCTCCCTCTTCAGTGGCGGGCTGTTCGCTGCTCAAGATGTGCCTGATGACACGCCGTGAACACGCACGGACATGCATGTCTGAGCTGACATGGCCCCCGGTTCCGCAGGCAGGCGGCCTCTTTGGGAGGCAGCGAGCATTTCCCTGAACTGAAACCGAGTCGGTCGCTGGAGGCTCCGGGGAGCTGAGAGCCGCGAGGAGGCGGGAGCATTTACGTTACAGCCGTTACGTTGGCACAAGCGCTCTGGGCCTCGGCGTCTGGCTTCCTCGCCTTCTCCGTGCACCGGGATTCACGAGGCCCCTCTAAAGGGAAGGTATCGGGCACACGTGACAGTCATGGGGCGCGTCTTCGTGAAGCCTTTTATCTAAACTTCTGGAAGCTGCCAAGGCAAACGCCGCTGCCCACTGGGTGCCGACCCCGTGGCCAGTAGCTGTGGCTCGGCCCCCTCCTGGGGCTGGAGGGGCTCCTGTGGCGGCCGGGCTGGTGGGCAGTTCTCAGCGCGGGGCCCAGCAGCTCCTGCCTGGAGGCTCGGGGAGACCACAGGCAGGGGGGGTCTCATCTGGGCAGCAGAGCCGTCGGTCCCAAGCTCACATGGCGGTTCAGCCAACAGCTGCTGGTTTTGCAGCACACGGTGCTGTTTGGTAAAGCCTGTACCAACCCCCATAGTGTCTTAATTTAGAAACAGTGACCCCAGTGAGTGCCACTGCTTTACATTTATGGGCACACGCGTGTTGTTCGCATGAGAACGACATTCTGTTCCGGTGAAACTGCGTAGGGAGGTAGAGCCGCAAAGGAGCCCCGGAGGAAGTGGGGGTTGGGCTCCGCAGCAGCTGGAGCCCGGGCCACACTCTCTCATGCGGGGCAGCAGGGGTCTCTCACGCCGCGATGCACTTCCATACACGCTACAGCCGCCGAGCAGGTGCGGCTCTTAATGCCAGTGTCTGTGGTATGCTGCAAATCGTATCCACTTTCCACGATTGTAACTTGTAACGGAAAGTTTCTAGCTGTAGCCTTGAAAACAGACCAAGAGGGACGGTGCTTCTCCAGCCTCTCTGGTGGGGACCACGCCCACTGACCTCGCCGGGCACTGCCGGCGCATGTGACCGGTTCCCGCCAGCAGCCCCGGGAGCCAGAAGTACTCACTTCCTCCTGAACGTCTCCTCTTCCTTCTTCCGGGTCAGCTGCAAGGACTGAAGTTTGTCCTCCAAGTCTTTTATCCTGAAAAGAGCCACGTATTGGAGGAACGCCGGCCGACAGGCCGGCCCCTCCAGCTTCGGGTCCAGCGCAGGGGGCCCCTCCCCCCGAGAGGACACAGGAGGGCCGCACCGGGCGTCCTTCACGGCGGCGAGGTCCCTGAGCTCCCAGGCGGTGCGCTGCAGCCTGCCCTCCAGCTCCGCGGCGGCGGCCTGGGCGCCCTGCAGAGATGCGGCGGCCTGGGCGCTGGCTTCCCTTTGAGCTGCCAGCTCCTTGTTCAGCAGCTTCACCTGGGAGGCAGGAAGCGGCTGCAGAACGAGGCTGCGGCTGCGACCCGGGGGCGCAGGCGAGCGTCACCCCGCACCCGGACCAGAGGAGGATGCCTCCCAGGGCCAGCGCCGGAGGCTGGGCACCCCGACGGGGCCTGCGAGGCCTGGCCTGTCGTCGCTCTGGTGCCCAGCCCCTGGCCTCACTTCTGAGCATGTGCTGAGAACACCATTCAGACCTGGACTCACACATGCACGTGGAGGCTGAGAGGGTGGAGCTCAAACCCCGGCCACACACTCAATTTTTAAACAGCCTCTCAGGCCTCAGCTTCCTGAGCTGTAAACTGTGGGGGATGTAACGGCTGCTGCCCCGAACCGGCCCTGGGCGTAAGCTGTGAGGCCCGGGGAGTGGGGTGTGGGGGGCAGCCGGTGTCCAGAGTCTGCGACCCCCACAGCAGCAGGGACAGTGTCTGCACGGCCCTCCCACCCTGCAGGCCCCCTACCAACCAAGTGCCCCCACCCCGGGCTGCGGAGCCGGTGCCGCCCCCACTTCCGCCTCCCCTGCTGGCGCCCGCGCCCTCCAGGCTGGACCTGCGCATCCCTCCCGCGAGCCCCGGCAGAGACCTTGTGGGAACCGACCCCCCGTTTGGGGCATGTCAGCCCCCGAGAGGCCGGCGGACGCGCCCACTACCTTGAGCTCATGGGCCAAGGCCACGCCGCTCATGCTGTCTGCGCGCAGCTGGAACTCCTGCTCCCGCTTCCGCATGTCGGCCTCAAACTCCAGCAGCAGCTCCTGGAGCAGGGGGGCTCGGGTGAGCGGGGCGGGACCTGCGGAGGCCCAGCTCGTGCACCCCGCACTGGCCCTTTGGGCTCCGCTCCGCCTTTCAGCTGGTGCCCCGCACGCTGTCACTCCCCAAGACCTGCCGGTTTCTTGCTTTGATGGACAGGCAGCAGCTGGGCAGCCGCCCACCCCGCCGGTGCCCCGGCCTCGCCTGCAGGCGCCCCCCACAAGCCGGGAGCCCCACCTCTCCTGCTGTCCTGACACCCCCCCTCCCCCGCTCCCTGCTTCCCGGGGCCTGTCTGTCTCCTTCCCCCTCGTTTCCTTGGGGGGGCCCTTCCCAGGATGCACCCCAGGCAGCCTTTCTCCCTTGCAGAGCAGCCCCTCACAGCCTGGCCTCCGGGCTCCTGGCTCCAGCAGGGGCGACTCACAGCCGCCGCTGGGCCCCCGGCTCCCTCCTGCTGGGAAGGGCACCCCCCGGGACCCATCGGGGTGACAGTCCGGGGTCCCCGCCCACGGGGTCCGGCCTGAGGGGTGGCAGTGGGAGCCGAGCACTTCAGCCTCCCCGTCCCGCATCTTTCAGGCCTGCCGGCGCCCGCCCCCCCGGACGCAGCCCGTTCGCCCAGTGACTGGGGCCACGAGCCTGGGGAGGGGCGTCGGCTCACGGGCCGCACGCCTGCCTGTCAGGAATGTGGCTGCCGCCCCCTGGGGCCTACGAGGCCGTGTGCAGAAGTGCAGCGGAAAACCTGTGCTTCAGTTTTTACCCTCTCGGAGCCAGATGAAGTACCAGGTGTTACGTGAGTAACTGTTACTGGAACCGGAGAACGACAGTCCTTGGCACCGCTCGCATGAGGCAGGACGGAGAAGCACTTGGTTTCTGCTCCAAGCGCCACAGGCTGCGGCCACCAGGGGGCAGGCGGACCCGGGGCTGGGACCCTTGGCTGGGCAAGGGCTGAGGGTGTCAGCCCAGGAAGGAGGGCGCACGGCCCCTGCCGTGGGCGGGTCCCAGCGGCCAAGGGCTCACAGGCCGGGGGCGTCCTGGCCTCAGGTCACAGCGCCGTGCCCCCAGAGGACGCAGGCCAGAGCTGCGCCTGCGCTGTGGGACAGGCACGTTCCCGTGTCACAGGGAGCTTCGGGGGGCAGTTCCTTAAACACCAGCTGCTGCCACAAGGGCACAGCTCTGCATGCCCCGGAGGGAGCCCGCAGGGCCCCGTCCCCGGGCAGCTGCAGGACACAGGCCCTGGCCACAGTGCGCCGAGTCTCTCAGAGGTCAGGCAGAGTGTCACCGAAGCCAAGGACAGGTTTTGGCGACAGGGCGAGGTCACCTGTCCGTGCACAAATCTACGGTTAAGCTTGTAGTTCCTCATTGCTTTTCTAAAAGGAACACAGTTACCACAAGGCGAGGCCCTGGCTTTCTCCACTCGCAACTGTATCACTTTTTCCAACTCAAACAAGGGGCAGGGGCTGGCTCCCGAGGAGCGGGCGCTGTTCAGCCGCAGAGGAGGCAGGCGCCGGCAGACCGCGGAGGGGCGCCTGCCCCCCTCGCTCGACCCCGCGCTCGGACAGCCTACCACGGCCGCCGCTGGCCCGGCACGCTCTGGGCCGGGCCGCCCGAGCAGCGACCGGGGTGCACGCCCCACCTGCCTCTGCAGAGCGAGCTCGCCGTCCAGCTCCTCGAGCCGCCGCTCCAGCCTCCAGCGCAGCGCCTCGCACTGTTCCCGCTGCTGGTCCATCTTGCTGCTCTTGTCGCTGCGCAACGAAAACGGCTCTGAGACCAGACGTGCTGCGTGGCCCCCAGGAGGGCACGTTTGCCAGGCGAGCTTCACAGGCCCGAGCTGGCGCTCTGCTTTGCAGGGATGGCTTCAGTGGGACGCGGGGGCAGCGCTGACAGCCACCCCCGGCCCGCGCGCCCCCCCTCGACAGGCACTGCCTGCGACAGGGGACGTGAAACGGGAGGTGGGGCTCTGTCCCGGAATCCCCAGCACGTCCCGGAAACACGCCAAGGACCGGAGGGGTCCCCGCCTGCGCAAGACGGGCCCTGAGGAGGCGCCCGCACCAAGGTCACGGAGGCCGGCATCCCCACGCGGGTTTAAAGCCGCCACGTAAACGCACCCCGACCAGCATCTGGTACCCGCTGAGCCCAGAGGGACAGTCTCGGCAAAGAGGAGACACAACAACAAGTCAAAGGGAAAATGTGAGCACCCACAAGAGCAAGCCGCCCGGGCTCCCGGAGGGCCCAGCCAAGAACGGGCGACAGAGGAAAGAGCCGGGACTTGTAGACAGAACGACAGCATCCCCGACCACAGGCCAGGGAGCAGCAGCTGAAAAACACAACCGATCGGAGCCCCTGGGACCGCGGGGCGGCAACAAAGGCTCGACGCTCAGGTCAACGCAGTCCCAGGGGACGAGGGCACAGAGGGAGGGACGGACATGCGTTCCAGGAAACTGACGGCAAAAAACGCCCCAAATCTGGCAAAAATAAGGGGCCAAAGGCCTGAGGAGGCGCTTCACAGAATGACGTGAAACACTGACCGCTCCGCAGGTGTGAGACGTAAAGTCAGGGTTCCCGTGGAGAGTCACAGAGCCACGCCGGCCTCCGACCCTCCGTGTGCACCGGGACCGCAGCGGCCAGGCGGCTCGTGGCTGGCGAGCGAGGCCTCCAACGCTGGGAGAGGCCGGCCGGGGGAACAGGCCACCCCCCTGCCCCGTGAGCACCTCCCGGACGGCCCGCGGGCCGGCTCTGCACCTGTCCGGGCGGGCGGGCTGGCGGGGAGGGGGCAGACGTGTCCTCACCTGAGCGCCCGCTGCAGCGCCAGGTGGTGCTCCTGCTCCTCCCGCTGCCGCTGCCGCTGCAGGTCCTCCAGCTGCCGGGCCCCCTCCGCCAGTGCCTGCCGCAGCTTGGCCACCTCGATCTTCAGCTCGCTGACCTCAGCCCGCTGCGCCTCCTCCAGCCGCCGGGCCTGGGCGAGGGCGGCGTCCGAACGCTCCAGCTCGCGGTCCCGCTCCTCCAGCACCTGCAGGTTGTAGACGAAGTCCCCCTGCAGGCCCCGCAGCCTGCCCCGGGCCTCCTCCAGCTGGCCGAGCGCATCCTGGAGCGCCGCCTCCTGCAGCTGCGTGCGGCGGGCCTGCAGCGCCCGCCACTCCGCCTCCTTGCTGGCCAGCAGCTCGTCCAGGGCCTGCTCCGAGGGCGGCGGCGGCGGCATCGCGGCAGCTGTGGCGAGAGAGGCGGGCAGCGGGCCCCGTTAGGGACTCTCGCCGCCTTCCACAAGGCCCCGCCGAGCCTCGCCGACACCGGCCACTGTCGCCGCGGGAAGCAGGAGGGCTCCGGGCCAGCTCCCGGCCGCCAGGTCAGGCTGGATTCTGGAGCACGAGGGGCTCCCCGAGGGCCCCGACTGCAGGGGCCCTAAGCAGCACACGCATCGCAAGAGACATGTATGTGACACACGGCACAAGGGACGCCCCTGCCAAAAGCAGCACTTGACACAGGGAGGAAATAACCCGCACAAGTGACACCCACCACAGGCAACATGCACGCAGCACATGTGACACGTGTTCCTGGGCCGCGGCCCCGTGCTGTCCCAGGCTTTCTGCGAAACCAGGGGCCAGGCCAGACCAGCCGCAAAGGCTGGGGGAGCCCGGGCGAGGGACCGCGAGGCGACGCACCGGCCTCCACGGCGGCTGTGCCACAGCGAGTGGACATGGAACGGCCGTCCCCACCCTCCGTGAGCCCAGGCGACCGGGGGTTGTCATGAGGGCACCGTGTGCACCCAGTGAGTTCTGGCGTCCGGCAGGCTCACCTGCAGAAACCAACGCACACGCAGGCCGCTGCCGGCCGCGCACGCACACAGGGGCAGAGCGGGGCCCCTGCTGCTGTCACCCGGGACACCGTGCCCCCAAGGGAACGTCCTGAGGTCCCGAGGGCCACGGGCTCCCCCCCGAGGACCAGCCTCCACGCCGTCCCGTGCCGCTCCCCGGCATCGGTCACACAGCCGCCCACCAGAGGTGCTTTTCCAGTGCGGAAATCCGACCCCACGATCCTGTGCCCGGGGCTCCTGGCCGTTTTCAAGGTGAGGCTGAACCTGCCTGGCACAGGACACAAAGACCCCTCGGGTGGGGCTGGCCACGCCGCCCGCCACGGCCCCTCCGCGTGTGCAGCCGCTGTGAGAGGGCGGCCCGCCCCGAAGCAGCTCCCAGCGCCCGCCCCCGCTCAGGACAGTCCGCCCCGTTTCCGTGCCCGCCTCGGCCGAGGACGATGCCCGAAGCTCCGAGGCTGAGGTTAATGGGCTCCAAACACAGGCTCGGCCTGCACCCCATCCGTCCGTCAGCCGCTGTGCCCTGCGAACACTCGTTCTCAAGAGGAACCCGTGAAATTTCTGGGAAAACTTCAGAAATCCCCAGAGAGGGGAGGGACCGCATCACCTGGGCTTTGCCATGGCGCACCTGGTCCTCTGGGGTGCCGGTGGCCCGGCCGGGCGGGCCAGCAGCACACGAGCCACCTCGGCATCTGTGAAACACTGAGCCTCCTCACCCATCGCGGGTTGTATGTTTACCTGTCAGGTGTGAAGAGCTCTTGGAAATCCCCAGGTCTCAGGGAGGCAGGAATCGTTCCCTGTGAGGGCCAAGGGCCCCCGCAGGGAAGACGCACTGCCCCAGGGCCACGATGACACCCCCAGAACCCGCCAGTGGCCTGGCAGCGGCCCAGCCGTGCGGGAGCAGTGCCAGCGTCGGGCACCCACACAGGGCGCAGCGAGGAACGGGCCCCAGAGCTGGGGCTTCCAGCGGGCGAGGGGCTTGAGAGGTCGCCTCACGAGGCACCTGGGGCGGCAAGGAGGACTCATGGCCAAGCGCCTCCCCACACCAGCAGCACACTGAGAGGACAGGGCGCAGGACACAGGGACTGGGGGAAGGGGCCGCGCCAGCTGCCAACACAGGCGGGGAGACGGGGATGGAGCCCGCGGTACCGCCGTCTGTGCCCTCCTTACCCCTCACCAAGGTGGCCAGGCCTTCGGGACCAAGCCCGCCAGAGCCAGAGGACCCGCAGATGCCGGCCTGCAGGCGTGACGGCGTGATCGGGCACACTCCCCCGCCCCCTCACTGACCAGAGGCCTGGGGCAGTGCGCGGGAGCGGGCACTCGGCAAGCGCCCCGCTGGAGAGCATCGCGGCACCACAGTGCGGCCGCGCAGGCTCTGCCACACGCACAGGGCCCATTCGTAAGGGCTTAAAGGTCAGGCACGAGGCGCTTCCGAGGTCCAGGCACGCTGGCTGGGTGCGGACACCGAAGCCCGCGTCCTGTGCCCCCGCTGCCTGGAGGGACCATGGCTCTGCATGCGCCTGGCTGTCCACGCTGCCGCTCAGGCCCGCCCCACGCTCCCACGGCCGCAGGCCCTGCATCTGCCCCGGCAAGGAATGTGGCCTTGTTGCCGCTGTGTGAACCTACGCAATGAGCTCAACTTACAAAAACATGGCTGCGGGCCTGGCGGGGGCCTGGCGGGGGCCTGGCGGTGGCCGCTGCTCAGCACTCGGGCGTGGACTCGACGCCAGCGGCAGCCTGAGCTGCGCACAGTACACGTCACCTTGCAGGAGGTCCAGGGGACGCACACGCGGGCCTGTGACCCAAGCCTTCTTCCCACCCGCCACTGACTGCCACACGGCGTGCACAACCACCTGGCACCTGCAGTGAGGGACGGGCGCAGGCAGATGTCGGTCCCACCCCTGGCACAGGCTGGGTCGAGGGGCACCAGGCAGGGAGGGCAGGCAGCGTTTTTTTACTTGCATTTACACCTACCAAACTACCTCCCCCCAAAAAGTGCGTCGCCGGGAAATAAAAGGGGAAGAAGAGCAGAACACTCTCGTATGTACGGGCATAGGTCCTGCTGACCTCTAGAAGCACGTGGCTGCTCCGCACACCAAAACCTGAGGTCAGTGACTGAAGATGCACTAATGCATCTAACTTTATTACATGTGATGTCAACACACTAAAGCCAACTCCGTGGGACAGTATTTTGACTGCGTATTCTGAGGATGAAAACAAAAACAGCCGCATCAAGTCGTCCCCTCTAGCTGGGCTGCTCCCCACTGGAACAGGGGTGGGAGTTCTGAAGCAACTTCACATGTGGTCTGGGACTGAGCGAACGAATCCATCGGCGAGGGCCGTGGGGCCGGATGGGGAGGGGGCAGGGAAGGGATGGGGAGCGTGGCTGGGGGGAGGGGCTGCACTGGGGCGCGTCAGCACGCCCCGAGCCAGAGTGCAGGCCCAGGTGTGCGCACACAGGACCCGACACGGGTGTCCGTGGTGCGTGCCCGGAAGTTTCCTCCCTCTGCTGTGAAGAAAGCCGAAAAGCCATGGCCCTCCAGCAGCAACGGCACCCCGACTGCCAGACCTCGATTTCTAAACACCGTCCCCTACAGCAAATGGCACCCACACTCCTGGGAGGGGCCACCGGTTCCAGGCCGGGTCCCCGGAAAGCGCAAGGCGAGCCTGGAGTGGCTCGTGGTGCCGGAGAGAAAGGGCGTGGTTGGGAAGGCGGGGTGTGCTCCCAGAGCGCGGGGCAGCCGGAGGGGGCTCCGATGCCCGAATCTGGACAAGCAGAGCAACAGAATAAGTGAGAGTAATGGGTTATGACCCATGGAATTAAAAAAAAAAATACTGTCTATACCAACCCCCATAACAGACTAAATAGGAAAAGGGAAAGATTCTTTCTTACAGTAGAAATCCAACTAATAAACGTAGAAGGAATGACGGTAATGGAAGAATCGCCCCTGGCAAGTACGGCATCTCCGTGTCAGAAAGCGCTCATGGGGGCCACCGTTAGTGACCGACAGCACAGTTACAGCGAGAGGGTCTCATGGCCTCCCCCCCCCCCCGAGACTTATTATTCACAACGGGAGAAACGGTTGGCTCTGACAGAGACCCTGGTAGACACCTGTCAGTAATGGGACAAAGCGGCATCGCGGGGCCTCCTGCAGAGATGCATGGAGAACACAATCTCACTGTTCAGGTTTTCTCACCCAAAGTGTGTAACTTGACGTTACGAATCAGGAGGAACCATCAGATACACCCAAACTGAGGCAGATTCTACAAAATAACTGACTCCTAAAGGTCGAAGCGAGACCAGGAATTGCTGCGGACTGCAGACCAGGAAGGCCAGGATGGCCGCGGGCTGGACCTGCCTGTGCGGTAAGCCAACTAGTCCTGCACATCCGATCCCAGTTTGGAAACCGGAAATGTTGGCGGTCCGGCTGCCTGTCGCCACCAGAACCAGTGGATAGAGACCAGCACTGACTCTTTACGGGTGTTTTATTCAGAGGCCGGTGATCTGAGAAGAAGGCGTTATGGACCCTGAGACCTTTCTTAACCTCTCATCCCAAGTGCCCTTTTCAAAAGAAGAAAAGGGCAGGTAAGGGGTTTGGGAAAGGATTAGGTAGTGCCGGTTTTCCTAGTGTTTCTGCACCCGCCGACCCACAGCTCTCTGCCTGCACCAGAGGCGGCCCCTCCCTGGGACACAAGGTCGGGTGGCTCCTCACCGCCCGAGTCTCCATTCCTGCGCCGGAGCCGCAGCCTTCCACAGGCACGAGCCACCCAAGCCCAGCAGCTACGGGGCTGCCACCCTTAACTCCTGCGCACCCTCCCTGCCCGTTCGCGATGGGCAGCCTGCCAAACTAACTGAGCTTCTGCAGGGGGTCGGGGGATCTCGGGGCAAATCCCTGTGCTGCTTCTGACACTTTTCTTTTTAAAGGTTGCTATGTTCTAGTATCTTTAAAAAAGATTTTATTTATTTATCTATTTTCAGAGAGAAAGGGAGGGAGAGAGGGAAACATCGGTTGGTTGCTTCTCGCGCGCCCCCTGCTGGGGACCTGGTCCGCAACCCAGGCCTGTGCACCGACTGGGAATCCAACAGGCGACCCTTTAGTTCGCAGGCCGGCGCTCAGCCCACTGAGCCACACCAGCCAGGGCTGCTTCAGACACTTTTAAATAATGAGGCTTATTTAAAATAATTTTTAAGCCATCGCCCGGCAACAGACTGCCTGGGTTGGAGTCTGTCTTCGCCGGCAGCCTCGCCTGCGGGCGCCGCAGGGATGTGGAGACTGAGCCCTACGAACCTGGCGCCGGCGAGCGTCTGCAGGGCACGGGCGAGCGGGGCTCCGCAGCCGGGCGCGGGGATGCTGGCGGCCCGCCCGGCTCCGGACTCCAAAGTCTCCAGT